GCACTTAATAGTTAAAGCAAAATACCTTGTGAAATTAGAAAGGGGCATGTTAGGTCTAGCAGCGTGAACCATTTGTGTGTAACACACTGCTGTCTGTCTGTCTGGAGCAGCACCTGCCTAACAGGCCATGCTCTCCAGGGTCAGGGGTCACCTGCCAGGAGGCCTAAGACTGAGGTCAAAGGTCATATCCCAGACAGGCGTGATGTGTGATTGAGAACACAGCTGGACTAATCAGGGCAGGTGTCTGTCCTTTTTTACCCTTCATCTTGAGCTACACATACTAAAGTACTGCTTACTGTGATAGATGGATGGATAGATAGATAGATAGAGAGAGAGAGAGAGAGAGAGAGAGAGAGAGAGAGAGAGAGAGAGAGAGAGAGAGAGAGAGAGAGAGAGAGAGAGAGAGAGAGAGAGAGAGAGAGAGAGAGAGAGAGAGAGAGAGAGAGAGAGAGACAACATAATTTGTATAAACATAAGTATTAAACTTCTGCACTTAATTCATCTTGCACCTTCTGTGCTATACATACATGATACCTGACATAATGTAAACTTAAAAACAAACTTTTTGTTTCCCGGCGTACGATAAAACAGGTGGAAAAGTCAGAGGCATACTGTAGCCTTGTGGGCAGGTGCAGCAGCATCCATGACCTGAGGTCCAGACCTGCGTCCATAATATATATATGCATAAAATCTTAATTTTCTCATTTCATTTTTATTTATTTTGGTGTACTAAAATAACTAAAAATAAACAAAATTATCTGTTTGTGATGGAGATTTAATTATAATAAATAATTAAAATAAAATTAAAATTAAAATAAAAAAAATAATTTAATACACGCTCGTTTGGGATTTATACTCTTTTGGATTCAGTTTTGGAACATCTGTAGGCCTATATTATTATATTTTGGATTGGAAGAAACGGTATTCTGATTGTCTCAAATTTTCCCATTTACTGCAATGGATCAACAATTTTATCACCAGTTTGGAAAAAAATGTTTTCTGCCTATGAATTTCAGTAATTTCTGTAGTAAAAAAGAAAAGAAAAAAAAAAGGATTGGGTATTAGGCCGGATGTTTTTGATCACATAATCCACTCTCATTGCAAATCATTAACTTTAGTCCAGCTTCATTCTAAATACAATGAGTACTGCTACAAATTCTAGATTAACAGAATTTATTTTGTTTAGTTCTTATGTTGAAGATCATAAACAAGAAAAGCTAATTTATGAATTGTACCTTATGGTTACAGATGAAATGATTAAAATGAATAACAGCAACATTACTGTAGCTCTGTGGCAGTATTCATAGAAGGGCAAGTCATTCAGTGTGAACGTATGCCCCCTGTTGGGGGACAATTGAAAAAACATGCATCCAATTTTACTTTTGGCCTCTGATAGGAGAATGAAAGTCAAAGTAACATTGAGTTAAAATGTCCACTTTCTCAAAACTCCTTGAAATGAAATCAGTGAAGCAGTTAAATTCGAATTTTATTTCAAGCAATCTAAGCACAGTGAAACAGGAGAGCAGCCGGATGACGTGTTTCTGAGTCACATGCTTCAGCAAGGTTTACCTGGAACTCAGCACCCCTGAGGGCACACACAGGGCACTCTGGCTTTATAGTGTTCTCACCCACTTTATGGCCATGCTGTTTCTGCCCACTTGTGATGTGGTCTGTGCGCAGGAATGCCTTTTCACCTCTCTTCATTATCCTACTGTGTTTGGCCTCCCCTTTTTATTCTCTTGGATTGGCTGCTCGTATGAAGTACCCTGGGAATTCTTCGCCTCCCAATTGGCTTCATTTCCTCAGTGCATATGAAGTGTACAGTAAATCATGATCTGAGGTCTTAATGAGTAGATAAATCTGGCTACAGATGAAGCGGCCCACATGTTCAACTCCAATTGGTTTGTTTTCTATATGGCTTTTTTTTCACTATAAGGATTCCTTGTCTCAGATTGAACACTTGATTAATTTAGGAAAAGATAAATGTGTGAGGAGTCTAGATTGAGATAAATTACTTGTGCATTACAGCACATGGGGATTTTAACTTTTGCAAATGCAAATTCGCACATTTGAAACGTGTTTGGGGTGCTTCTGTTCTTTTATTATACAAGGAGTCTTGAATGTATGTTACTACTCATTTTTTAAAACAATTTATTAAATAATTAATCTAAAACTGTAGGAGCGCACAGAGGCGGCATTCAAAAAATCCATGTCCAGATGGCTATTTGACCATTTAACCCCTCAAAATTGAATGTAGCCAAAGAACAAGCAGACAAGATAAAAAAATAGTTTTTTAAAAAACTGATGTAATGCATATTTTTGAGTCATGATGGATGTATATATTGAATCATGTATATCTGACATGGAAAGTGTACCAACCTGCCTTTCACTCCGCCACAAGGACCAGTTGGGGTCGTCTGGATGATGCCTTATAATGTTTACTGTTCTTACCTGTTATGTCAATTCATAATAGGTTTTCAGTTGTGCCACCCTGACAGACGAATTGCTGGACAAAAGTTTTTTCAATTATCTCAACAGCTTTAAAACTACTGATATTTATCTAATTTGTTTACATGAAAGGTTTCAAACCTAAAATGATCCCATAGTATTTAGTTTCTAATTGTTTATTCACTCAAAAAAATTAAATGTTGGCTTTACTTAACTTTTTATGTAAACAGGTTCCACCGGTTCCACATAACTATGTTTCGTTAAACAAACATAATATGTTCATGTAACTTCAACATCATGGAATTTGGTCATTTTAAGCGACCCAATTAAACTCTGAGCTAATGAGTTAATTAAGTGAATAACTGAGTGATGATTGAGCATTATTGAAGACACCTGATGTTAACAAGCAGAATCTCTGAAGGAGAAAACCGGAATGTTTAAGTCACCATTATGGAGATAAGTGTGTGTTTTAGTTGGGCTCTTGACCATTAACTTATTAACTTTAGATTTTGTTTGGTTGCTGTACATGAGTTATAACAGCCGGATGAACAATAAACAAAGGTCATCTGATGGTGTTGGTTGTGTTTTAACAATCATTATTTCACAATCATTTGACCTCAATCACTGAACTTATATTGAACCCAATTTCTGAGTTAAATTTACCTTACTGTCATTCTAGAGCATACTATTTTTAGGCTTTTCAATGAAATTCAAATGATCAAATCAAGAAATAAAAAATAAACTTCTTAAAAAATATGTTGAGTAGGCATACACAGACATCAAGAATCAGCATATGAATCTCAGCAATGGTGACAAACAGATCATAAGCTCATTATTTATTCATGCAGCAATGCATGATGGGAGCCATGAATGAATTTTGATTGGTAGCACCCAGAATGCACTGCAACATGCTTTATAATTGTCACCATTGTTGATATTCACAGGCTGATTCTTGATGTCTGTGTGTGCCTACTCAAAATATTTTTTAGGAAGTTTCTTTTTTATTTATTGATTTGATCATTTGAATTTCATTGAAAAGTCAAAAAAATAGAATGCTCTACAATGACAATGCTGCTATAATTCGAAAGGTTAACTTAACTCAGAAATTCGGTTTAATATAAGTTCAGTGATTGAGGTCAAATGATTGTGAAATAATGATTATGTTAAAACACAACCAACACCATCAGATGACCTTTGTTTATTGTTCACCTGGCTGTTATAACTCATGTACAGCAACCAAACAAAATCTACAGTTAATAAGTTAATGGTCAAGAGCCCAACTAAAACACACACTTATCTCCATAATGGTGACTTAAACATTCCGGTTTTCTCCTTCAGAGATTCTGCTTGTTAACATCAGGTGTCTTCAATAATGCTCAATCATCACTCAGTTATTCACTTAATTAACTCATTAGCTCAGAGTTTGATTGGGTCGCTTAAAATGACCAAATTCCATGATGTTGAAGTTACATGAACATATTATGTTTGTTTAACGAAACATAGTTATGTGGAACCGGTGGAACCTGTTTACATAAAAAAGTTAAGTAAAGCCAACATATCATTTTTTTGAGTGTTGTTAAGAGACAATTTTAAAGAGTTTCTTAGTCTGTTTATTTGTTCGGAAAGTTGTACCACCTGACATTTTGGGGGTTTAAGATAACAAAAAAATGATTTAAATATCCTATAAATAGGTTTTATTGATTAAAGTGGTATATGGCATGAACAGTGAAATGAAAACAACTGAAACATTTGCATACATTGCAAATGAAGCGGTTCAAACACTCACACATTAACCTGAACTAAACCCTAAAGGTTGTGAATTGTTGCATGTTCATGTGAAATGCATGAGACCTATACTGACTCACTCATAGATACTCAATAATACTTATGCACTAATCATACAGCTCTGCTGACTGTGTTACAGTGGTTGAAGCAACAATGGCACCATCGAACCAGTCCTTAGTCTGCACTAAGCAATATGAGGCAACTTATGACGATATCTAACATTCACATCCACATAATGGAGTCCAAAGTCTGACACTACAAAAATGCTTCTATTTTCTATTATGTTCTACCTCAATATAGACAACTAATATAGTTTGTCTGTCAATTACATATCAAACAATATTGCTGAGCAAAAATACTGACTTTATTTATGATGTAGTTGTTGTTTTACGTATGTCATGAGGTTATTTATTTGTTGTGTGCTGATGTTAGTTCATCTTTTTACTTAATGGTTGTCACCATTATTGAGATTAAGTGTTTATGTCTATGTATGTTTTAGCAAAACTGATGTAATATTGATAAAACACCAGATTTTTAAATCAAATGTGTTTTGAGGCTAAATATCCCTTATGCTGGCCTGGTCAAAAGGCCCAGAGCTCCATGAGCAGTGAAGGTTCATTGCTGCAATTCCATCAGACTCAGCTCAAATTCACCAGGCCGGTGTGACTTCATCGCGGCTCTCAGGGGTCCCAGAGACGGTGGTGTGAGTCCCGGTATGTGCAGGGGTGTGAGGGACGGATCAACGTAGGTGGAAGGGGGAGGAAAAAGAGAAGGGTGTGGGGGGTTTCAGAGACAGTTTGGGATAGATGGATGCCATCCTGCAGAACGCCGGTCACCAATGGTGCTTCAGTGAGGTGTAATTTCATGGATGAAGTCGAGACATACACAAGAGTTGCCAGGGAACAGTGAGGACATTTTTGAGCCACTGTCAGCCATTTCTGAGCAGAGCTGTTGGCATCCATAACCGATCCCGACTGTTACGCACCGGTAAGCGATATGTCATTTTGTTATTGAAAAGAACCTGTCAGCACAAATACTTCACTGACATTTTTTTGGGGAATGAAAACATCATCTCTGTATGTTATAAAGTGAAGTGATATTAGACATTTGAATAGTTTGAAACTGCTAACTCCAGTGCTTCTGATGCTCACGTTACACTGTAAATAAAACATTATTACGGGAGTAGATTTTACAAGAAAATGCTATTTCAGTCTTTCTACTTCAAAATTTCACATTTAATTCAACACTGTAAAAAAGGCTTTCAACTGTTTCAAACTCAATCAACTAATTTTTTAAGTCAGTTTAATGTAATTTAAGTTGAAATGGCTTAAACATCCAAGTTGATTGTACTTAATTTAAGGCAGCAACTTTTCTCACAGTGTATGCTTTACTTGCAGATTTATGATATTGACTAGCAATTATGATTGAAAATTGGAGCTACACACATTTTTTTTCAATGTACACGTCACAAGATGCGTGTAAGTAATCCACTTTAGGTGAGTTAACTGCAGTGTTAATTTTGTCAGCAAATTTTGATTTAGTTTTAGTTTTAGTCTTAGTCTTTTGACTAAAATGCCATTTAGTTTTAGTCATATTTTAGTCATCTGAATTGTTTTAGTTTTAGTCTAGTTTTAGTCGACGAAATACAATAACATTTTAGTCGACTAAATCTACAGTAGATTTAGTCGACTAAAATATAATGGGTTTAGTTCAATTGTAATGCGTTAATTTAGAATTTCTCTAAAATTTCCAAACCCATATACTCCCGGAGAAAACATCTATTAACCTATTAATATGAATGATTTTTAAGTTTGAACATGCAATACAGATACAGATTTAACTACTGTGACTTAAAAAATATCTTAAAATGAAATAAAACCACTTTTTCTAAAGTACAACACAGTCTTCTTTACAATGAATGATATATGCATTCCTTATAACTACTTACACATCATTCTTTATTCTTTCAAGCAGACATGTTTATTTGTATGAATTAAATATAATTAATCCTTATTAAAGCTATTAACAAACAGTGAATGCTTTTCTCTTTTTCTTTTGTTGCTTGATCAAAATTAAGGACACAGACCGCATTAGGTTTATTGCCACTGTCACTTTAAGACGTCGGATCATGTCCAATGACATGCGGATACAATTGCACTGATGCACATCCGACACACTCACAGTTTAAGACATAACCAGCATAGTTTACATGAATACTCTCCAAAAAGGACATTTAGACATACTGTTGTGTATTTCTCCATTCAGACACGAAAGAGAGCTCAATTCAGTAGCCTACTCGCGCGCTGTAGGTGTATTGTGCATGACTGCACGCTTCGGGTTAGGTGTGTGCGCACAGAAAACCGCACCGAATAAAGCTCTTTTTTGCATCGTCACTCTTATTCAGAGATCTATATGTCTGCTCTACTCATTCTCCCAGACGTTCACATTTTTTAACGTTTTATGACCGCGGGGTAGATCACGTTACAGTAGCCTACAAATGTGCGCATCTTCCACACACGCAGGACATCAGTTCTGACGGATCGCTTCCCAAATCGTCACTATCTAACATTTTCGTCTAGTTTTTATTCGTTGACGAAAATGTCAATAGATTTTCGTCATAGTCTTTGTCATTCAAAACTAGGTTTTATTTAGTTATCGTCTCGTTTTCGTCTGTGAAAAAATGTCGTTGACGAATAATTTTCGTCGTTATTTTCGTCAACGAAATTAACACTGGTTAACTGAATCCATGTGCAATTTTTTTAATCCAAACATAAACAAAGACTTGGCCAGACACATAAAACTCACCAAATAGTGGTTACACAAACAAAGCTATAGGCAAGAGACAATGGAAACATGAGGGCTACTTATACAACAAGACTAATGACTAACAAGAAACACCTGTGAGCAATAAAGACGATCAACCACTCAAAACATGACACATAAGACAAGGGAAGCACAAGATCTAATCACATGACGAGGAACCAGGAAGCATGACAGTGAGAATTACAAAATAAAAGACATGAGACATAAAAGTGATAACAAACACAAAACCAACCCTGATAACGGGCATGAATGAACTTAAAAATCATTAAATAAATATTGCATTATATTTCAGCTAAGCAACCACTTGAGCATCTTTAAATGTTTGGACCATTTTCATAAGTAATTTGTTTTCACTTCATAATGCAATTCAAGAAAATTCAATGTAAAAATACATTTTCACCCCCTTCATTTTAGGCGGTGAGATTCATTCAAGGCCGATGACTTTTAAGGAGGTTAGTGCATATCAGTAACTCATTCATTTCACCCTTTATAATAAACCGTAAGCAAGATTAGTTGTATTATACAGTTTATATACCTGTGTATATAGTCGAGCACTACCAAGAATGCCTTGTATGTGTTTGCCCTGTTGAATCTATAAACCTCATCCTTGGCCTCAGAATCAGCTGACCGTCCCGCTGCTGACTTCCATCGTGGCAGCGGTGCTCGGCTCCCTCCAGATAGGATACCACACAGGCAACATCAATGCCCCTGCCCGAGTGAGTAGAGTTGACTTTGGGGGCCAGCCGCTGGTTAGCATGGTTTCTCAGTTTACATACAAACTTCTCATGGCCCTCATAAAACACTGAATAAACTTTACCAAGTCACAGAATATTTCTCTTCAGCCAGCATTGGATTTGGAACGCTCTATGTTTGCGCACAGGTAGCTATGATGTCTAGCTTGTGTTGATTTATCGCCTGTGTGTGGATATAGTACAGTTCCCTCCGGTCGTGCTTTCATTATGAAAACATTGGGACTGGTCTCAAGATATTAGTCATGTCTTTCAAGCAGGTGAAATTCAGAGTAAAGTATTAAAATTACAGGCTGCTCTGAGTTTTGGTCAGTGTTAGCATTACGTATGCTGTTTGCTTGTTGATGTATTATGATGTGTCTGAAATGAAAGTATTGAGTATGCCTAATACTATGCCAAATGCCTATATTTAGTGTGTTCATGCACAACAGTTTTGCTGAATGAACAATGATTGTCGGACTTTACTTTAATGCAAGTGTGTGAGCATGTAGCAAGTCGTGGTGCATGTACTGTATCTTATTTACACCCTTTTGGTTTTCTTCATTGAGGTCATTGAGGAGTTTTTCAACTCAACATGGAGATCCAGACACAATCAGTCAATACCAGAGCACAGTCTCACGTTCCTGTGGTCCCTCTCTGTTAGTATTAAGGACTTTGGAGCACTGCTTGGTTCACTTGGGGTCAAAGGTCTTGCTGATACTTTTGGGAGGTGAGAAAACTTGTGCTTTAAGAATCCCACTCTCAGGGGGGTAAAAAAAAAAGGCATTTGTGCCTGAATATTTCAACACATTCTCATCCTTTGGCGTCATATAGGTGACGCCATATGACATTTCGTCGAAATCTTACAAACTGTTCAGCGTCAATATAACACGCACTGTTATAGGTTTAGGTCTGGGGTAGGGTTACGGTTATGACGCCTTGGGATCTGCGTCTCACATTGACGCTAAAGGATGCCATGTGCGTAAGATTTCGACGAAATGTCAAAAGCGTCACATGCATGACGCCTTGGGATGAGAACGGGCTGGAATATTTATATATGTAAGTGTATGTATGTATGTATTTATTTAGATCAAATATTGCAGACATATAGCATTAGGGTTAGTAATGATAAACATCCATCCATCCCATCCCATCCATCAATGAAGAACCCATTGCATTTCTCTTTACAAACATCTTTCTGCTAACATTACGTTTAAAAATATATTTTTAAAAATCACTTCATGACTCTACAGTTCACAATTTGTACTTTGTGCTTTTGGTTGAACTTTATTTGTATACTCCACTTCAGACATTGTACTAACTATAAGTAACTTTGCAACTACATGTCAACTAACTCTTTAGAGTATTAGTAGAACTGTTAAGTTAGTTAGTAGAATAAGTTGACATGTACTTTCAAATGTATAGTCGGTATAATTTCTGTTTGGGGAGCATCAAAATAAAGTGTTAGCAGATAATACGCATACAGTCTACTAATACTCTAATGAGAGTTATTTGACACATGCCTGCAAAGGTACTTGCATTTAGCAGAATGTATAAAGTGGACTATCAAAATAAAGTGTTCCCAAACTTTTTAAAAGTAATTTCTGTGATAATTTTTTTGTTCCATAACCCAAATGAAAAACAGAGTGTGAACACATGAAATAGCTACTGATAAAGAGAAATTATATGATTATTAAAGAGAAAGTATATTATTAATTGGCCCACCCACAGTGGTACAGTATGTGAGTGCTATTTTGAAATAATTCTATATATTTCCTTGCAGGCGTAATGCAATTCTGATAGTGAATGCTTTATCAGTGGTGGGTGCCTCTCTGATGTTCATGAGCAAAGCCACAGGGTCATTTGAAGTGCTTATCGTGGGTCGGCTGATCTTTGGTTTGTTCTGTGGCCTGGTGATGAGTCTGAACCCGCTGTACATTCAGGGTGTCTCGCCCACGAACCTCCGCGGTGCCTTTGCAACTCTGAACCAGGTCTCCTTCGCCTCAGGCATTCTGCTGGGCATGGTGAGACACACCTGCTCCCATTCCGTTTCCAGCTTTGCCCTTAAAAGTTACGTGAATCGTAAATACAGGCCTGGATCTCATCAATGCAAGCCTGATGGTTTGTTGTGTGTATATCTCAGGTGGTGGGCTTGGAAACGGTATTGGGTACAGAGAAATACTGGTCCCTGATGTTGTCTCTGTCCCTTATTCCTGCAACGCTCCAGTATGTAAGCCTTCCTTTTTGCCCTAAAAGCCCCCGCTTCCTCTTCATCAACAGGGGCAAAGAAAAAGAAGCAGAGGCGGGTGAGTTAATCACAGTTCCGATGGGACAGAGTGTTGACTCATGACTGACTTAGAACAGAAGTAAACATGTTGAACCTAGTGTGAAGAGAAGTTCGATCCAGCAGACCAGCATCCTTCTTTCTTTCTTTCTTTTGTCAGCCCTGAGAAAACTTCGGGGAAATCCAGAGATGGTGATGAAAGAAATGGAGGAGATGAGAGAGGAAGCCGCACATAGTGAAACAGGAGTGACTGTGAGAGAATTCCTCAAGAAGAAGCGCTACAGGCAGCCGATAATACTTGTGCTTATCATAAACCTGGGCAGCCAGTTATCTGGATTCAATGCGGTTGGTGTTCCAACTAAAAAATCATTCCTTTGCCTGAATGTCCATCAATGCAATATCTGATTTAAGCATGATCATATATCATTTTTCTAGGCTACATTTTGAGTTATGATTCATGATATGTGTAACGCCTTTTTTTTTCCTCTTTCCATCTCCATGAGTCTGACGGTGACGGCAATTTCAATGGATGGGGCTGAAAATATTTCCTTCTTGTCATAGTTAAATGCAAGGCCGTACACACTATTTTTGTATCTGATTTAGTTGACACATTTCCCTTGGACTTGAGCATTTATTTTTGTAGTTCTGTACCCCATATTTTAGCCAATTGCAGAGCCAATTCCACTAAAGTTCTTTTCATCAAGAATCTGATCTCAAATTAGAACAAGCTGAATGTGCTTATAACGTTTTCTCATAAGGATTCTCCAAAGGGTTTGCATGCAAAGTACAATTGCCCAGAATAACTCTTTTCCATGTCTCTTACTTTTCTTCCAGATCATAAATTATTCTACAAAAATGTTTGCCCAGTCCAATTTTGATGAGGCCAAATATCTGACACTAGGGGTTGGGGCCGTCAATGTGGCATTCACCATAGTAGCAGTGAGTATTCATTACATGTACTGTTATTTGTTCAAAGAATCCTTATTTTATTGTCAGTATTGTTTATGTTTTACTGGCCTATAGTTTTAGCTGTTCTTGTTTTTTCAAGATAGAAAAGTGGAATAATAGGAGGGATCATGTGAATTTATTTATATAGTGCTTTTTACAATATAATAGTGTATATATTTTACAATATAATGCTTCACGTTAATAAACAGGAAAATACAAGTTTTAATGTTGTAAAATGCATCAGTTATGAAACAAAATCCAGTTTCATTATTCAGCTCAATTTAGTGTGTCACTGTTGCAAAGTTTATTAAACCAATTCAGTTCAGCTATAAGCAGCTCTTCAAGAAGGCAATAGTGGCTTTATTCAGTTCAAGTCAGCTCAATGTTGATTCAGTTTAGTTCAATTTCATTGTCAATGTTACATGATGAAAATGAGACACAGAGGATCTTAAACTGCACTGAACTTTAACGAAAACAAGAGTGAATTTCAACAAAACGATAATACAACATAAGAGAAAGGCAACGTAGCAGCGTGAATGAACACAAACAACACCAGATAAAGAATGACTGAACTGAAGGCATTAAAGGCCCAATGAAGTGCCTTGAAACGCGCAGCATTATTCAGTGTGTTGATGTCATTTCCAATGAAACAGGAAGACGGGGCGGGACATATCGAGTAGCTCCTCCCCTTTTTATTGTTTATGTCACAGCTCGGCCAGAGCTGTTGAGCTTCGCAAAGCCGCATTTGACACCTTATGATAGCCACAGTCTAGATCCACCAAAAAAAAGTGATTTCATGGGGACTTTAAATACACAGAGAACTATTGAACTAATGAGGGACAGGTGTAAGAAATCAATCAAACAATGAATAACCAATGACAACCGAGTAAACAGGAACAAAGGAAACAAAGAGAAACAAATGAAACCAAAACACTGACATAACATGACATTGACTGAATGGTAATTGTCTTTTAAAGGTACAATATGTTAGAATTTTGTAATAAAATATCCAAAAATCATTTGCACAGTATGATATATTTCCTGTAGTTGTGTACAATATCCCAAAAGTTCCCAAAGATTTTTAATTTCAGAGAAATTCCCATTTTAAATAATTGACCGTCCCATAATCCCTGTTCACTTGTCACCTGTCAATGACGTAATATCCGCGTTGTCCCTGGTTTCTTTCCGCTAGTAGTACTGCCATAGTAACCATGGCGACAGACGTGGACAACTGCGTAAAGCGTAAGATCTAGCTGCACGCTGTTGTTGTTTCGCTCAAACATTATGGACCATGGCAAGCAGACTTTGGGAAAAATGGAGAACTAAAACGAGGATCAATATCAGCGTGGCGTTTTCGAGATGCCGAGAGCTCCACGTCTTTGACAAACTTCGACTTGACAGAGCTCTTACATGTACTTTATTAGACAGGTGAGCAAATGTACATAAAACGAATCAATGTTATATAGCTCAACATGATGAAATGTTAGAATATGATCTGTATGTTATTCTAATGTTGATCTAGCTTACTGCTAGTTTCAAATAGCCAACAAACTAACACATAGATTAACATTATAACTTTCAACACACTCAAATGCAGTTTTAGACAGGGTCAATTTTCACAAAATCAGAACCCCGAAGGCATTTTGTGATTATTTATATTATACAACATTTCTAGGGGTATTAAGGGGTGCTGAATCCAAATCTGCTGTATATGAAGCTCAAAAATGTCCCAAAATGCCTCAAAAATGAGAAATTCAAAATGGCCGCCACCGCCAGGCTGAAATCTATTTTTCAGTATATCTTTTTGACTAAACAAGGTACAAACATGACATAAATGTGCTTTTGTAAGTTTTCCTACATGGGCAATTCAATGCCATATTCAGATTTGAGAACTAATGTGAACAAACAGCTTAGATATTGCAAAAAAAGTTGTTTTTAACTATCAATAATTACTCAGTTATTATTATTATTATTACTATTATTGTTGATATTATCAGGCTACATTTACTTACTTTGTATTTTGTTTTGAGGTCAAATGTACAAACAAATACAAAAGTTACAAACTTTAATTAAATGTTCACAGGTTTTCACACATGGGGAATTTAACATCCCGTCCTGATTTAGATCAAGTGTCAATAATCAGCTTGAAAATCACACAAGTATAGAGAAAAAGGTGGTCATTAGTGATAAAGAAGTTGTCCATCAAATAAGATCCAAAAGCAGGAAGATCCATGGGTCATGGTGATATTCATTGAACTACACTCACCTAAAAGATTATTAGAAACACCATACTAATACTGTGTTTGACCCCCTTTCGCCTTCAGAACTGCCTTAATACTACGTGGAATTGATTCAACAAGGTGCTGAAAGCATTCTTTAGAAATGTTGGCCCATATTGATAGGATAGCATCTTGCAGTTGATGGAGATTTGTGGGATGCACCCAATGCTCTATTGGGTTGAGATCTGGTGATTGTGAGGGCCATTTTAGTACAGTGAACTCATTGTCATGTTCAAGAAACCAATTTGAAATGATTTGAGCTTTGTGACATGGTGCATTATCCTGCTGGAAGTAGCCATCAGAGGATGGGTACATGGTGGCCATAAAGGGATGGACATGGTCAGAAACAATGCTCAGGTAGGCCGTGGCATTTAAACGGTGCCCAATTGGCACTAAGGGGCCTAAAGTGTTACACCACCACCACCAGCCTGCACAGTGGTAACAAGGCATGATGGATCCATGTTCTCATTCTGTTTACGCCAAATTCTGACTCTACCATCTGAATGTCTCAACAGAAATCGAGACTCATCAGACCAGGCAACATTTTTCCAGTCTTCAACTGTCCATTGTCTTATTTGATGGACAACTTCTTTATCACTAATGATGACCACCTTTTTCTCTATACTTGTGTGATTTTCAAGCTGATTATTGACACTTGATCTACAACCCGAATTCCGGAAAAGTTGGGACGTTTTTTAAATTTGAATAAAATGAAAACTATAAGACTTTCAAATCACATGAGCCAATATTTTATTCACAATAGAACATAGATAACATAACAAATGTTTAAACTGAGAAAATTTACACTTTTATCCAATAAATGAGCCCATTTCAAATTTGATGCCTGCTACAGGTCTCAAAATAGTTGGGACGGGGTGTAACATCTCCTCTTCTTTTCAAAACAGTTTGAAGACGTCTGGGCATCGAGTTTATGAGTGTCTGGAGTTTTGGTGTTGGAATTTGGTCCCATTCTTGCCTTATATAGGTTTCCAGCTGCTGAAGTGTTCGTGGTCGTCTTTGACGCATTTGTCGTTTAATGATGCGCCAAATGTTCTCTATAAGTGAAAGATCTGGACTGCAGGCAGGCTAATTCAACACCCGGACTCTTCTACGACGAAGCCATGCTATTGTAATAGCTGCAGTATGTGGTTTTGCATTGTCCTGCTGAAATACACAAGGCCACAAGGTCGTCTGGAGGGGAGCATATGTTGCTCTAAAACCTTTATATAGCTTTCAGCATTCATAGTGCCTTCCAAAACATGCAAGCTGCCCATACCGTATGCACTTATGCACCCCCATACCATCAGAGATGCTGGCTTTTGAACTGAACGCTGATAACACGATGGAAGGTCTCCCTCTTCTTTTGCCCGGAGGACACGGCGTCCGTGATTTCCAACAAGAATGTCAAATTTGAACTCGTCGGACCATAGAATACTTGTCCACTTTGAAATAGTCCATTTTAAATGAGCCTTGGCCCACAGGACACGACGGCGCTTCTGGACCATGTTCACATATGGCTTCCTTTTTGCATGATAGAGCTTTAGTTGGCATCTGTAGATGGCACGGCGGATTGTGTTTACTGACAGTGGTTTCTGGAAGTGTTCCTGGGCCCATTTAGTAATGTCATTCACACAATCATGCCGATGAGTGATGCAGTGCCGTCTGAGGGCCCGAAGACCACGGACATCCAATAAAGGTCTTCGGCCTTGTCCCTTACGCACAGAGATTTCTCCAGTTTCTCTGAATCTTTTGATGATGTTGTGCACTGTAGATGATGAGATTTGCAAAGCCTTTGCAAATTGACGTTGAGGAACATTGTTTTTAAAGTGTTCCACAATCTTTTTACGCACTCTTTCACAGATTGGAGAGCCTCTGCCCATCTTTACTTCTGAGAGACTCTACCTCTCTAAGACATCCCTTTTGTAGCTAATCATGTTACAGACCTGATATCAATTAACTTAATTAGTTGCTAGATGTTCTCCCACCTGAATCCTTTCTAAATTTCTTGCTTTTTCAACCATTTGTTGCCCCCGTCCCAACTATTTTGAGACCTGTAGCAGGCATCAAATTTGAAATGAGCTCATTTAGTGGATAAAAGTGTAAAATTTCTCAGTTTAAACATTTGTTATGTTATCTATGTTCTATTGTGAATAAAATATTGGCTCACGTGATTTGAAAGTCTTATAGTTTTCATTTTATTCAAATTTAAAAAACGTCCCAACTTTTCCGGAATTCGGGTTGTAAATCAGGACGGGATGTTAAATTCCCCATGTGTGAAAACCTGTGAACATTTAATTAAAGTTTGTAACTTTTGTATTTGTTTGTACATTTGACCTCAAAACAAAATACAAAGTAAGTAAATGTAGCCTGATAATATCAACAATAATAGTAATAATAATAACTGAGTAATTATTCATAGTTAAAAACAACGTTTTTTTGCAATATCTAAGCTGTTTCTTCACATTACTTCTCAAATCTGAATATGGCATTGAATTGCCCATGTAGGAAAACTTACAAAAGCACATTTATGTCATGTTTGTACCTTGTTTAGTCAAAAAGATATACTGAAAAATAGATTTCAGCCTGGCGGTGGCGGCCATTTTGAATTTCTCAATTTTGAGGCATTTTGGGACATTTTTTAGCTTCATATACAGCAGATTTGGATTCAGCACGCCTTAATACCCTTAGAAATGTTGTATAATATAAATAATCACAAAATGCCTCCACCACTTTAAATAAGCACATTTTCAGAAATTCTGCCTAGTCTATTTAGTGTGATAGCGTAGTAGACCAAGTGAAACAGCGCTGTTTCCTCACAAGCTTCATTCGTCTAATAAACTGACCTGTGTGAGTAATTCTGCACTCGCGGGTAGTTTGGTAGAATTAAATGATCTTATTCCTTTATATCCGCGTGTGGCGCTGATATCTGTCTCTCATTAGCAATCGCACCCTGCTTCACACCACAGTCATGATAAAAACATCAATGTATTCACTCATCCATAAACATTATTGGATCCATAAGCTTGACGACAAATTCCATACTTCCGCAGGAAATTTTGCGTCATCAACCGCGTAGGTTGTTATTGTACGAGGTTAGCGACCCCTAGCGGCCAAAGAAATTACATATTGTATCTTTAAACCATTTGATCATGAGACTGTTCATTTCATTACATGAAAAGTGCTATTTAACTTGTAGAAAAAGTTTATTTAAGCCCTTTAAAAGATTTTAAAGGTAAATAATTTAAATAAAAGATTTTTTTTTTTTAAATCCCCTTCTGCAAAGTTCTTTTTGGTGGAGAGAGCGGGACGCAGGAAGTTGTTGCTTGCTGGATTTCTGTCACTAGCGCTCTGCAACCTACTTATGACCATCACATATTCCATAATGGTGAGATTGAGCCTCCATCTTGTTTCCAAACTCCAGAGATGAATCACAATTCTTGACTTTTACTCGTCTCTCTTCTCGATCCTCAGAACATAGTTCCAGGCATCCGTAATATTCAGGTGCTGGTGGTTTTCTTCCTGATCTCAGCTTATGAAGTGGGGCCTGGGCCAATCTCTTGGTTCATTGCCGCTGAGCTTTTTGACCAGTCGGCTCGTCCCATTGCCATGGCCTTCACTAGTATGCTTAACTGGGGAGGGAAGTTTTTACTAGCACTGCTCTTTCCACCTCTGCTGGTATGTGCAGCTCTTATATTCAGCACACAAGATCTGTATTGCACACTTATATACTAATTTACTTTAACAGCTGAACCTTGTTTGCAGAAACTGTGTGGGGCGTACGTCTACCTCCTCTTCATGTGTATGGCCTTGCTCGCCTTCACCTACACCATGTTTCGTCTTCCTGAGACCAAGGGACGCACTTTTGATGACATTGCGGCTGAGTTCCGTGGGGCCGAAGGCATTCCACTACATGACAAGACCACATTTAACACATTTACCTGATCACAAGCTTTTGGGTTAGCGGGACCAGTAAACACTAATCAACTCAAATGCAATGGGTGTGTTTATGCAACATATGAATGGGTATCGATCGATATATATATATATATATATATATATATATATATATATATATATATATATATATCAAGGATTCTGCATAGAATATCTAATAAGGAAATGTTAACCAACAACTTATATTCTAAAACACGTAGACGTTTTAAGACAAAACATAAACTTTATAAGTTTTTATCACACTGTGAAATCTCTGAACTCTCTGGTTTGTGCACTCTTGCCACACATCTATGTGGTTATCCAAGTTTACCAAACAATCTGACGGATGATATTGACGGGTATAATAGCAGCAAAACTACTTGATAAATATTTGTTAGGAAATCCCTGTAAACTGTTTTTGATTTTTTATGCATTCCCTGAGATATTTGCAATGTGTTTCACAACAGTCCACTTTTCTTTTCTTTTTTTCTTTTTTTTTTTAAGTTGATGGAATATCTGAATATGATTGTAAACATGAAATAAAAGATTGACCATTTCAGTTTCTTGTTCCAAATTACCAAGAAGTGCTACGCATTGCTCTAATTTACCTCTCTCATATTTTTCTTTCTTTCTTTCTTTCTAAAATCAGAAACATCCAGAGACCCCACTAACTGAAAAAGTGAAGACATGACATTGTCGACATCTTGTGAACTCAAAGAAGAAAAAAACTCGCTCTCTTGTTGTATGTCGTATGTTGTCATAACAAGCTAATTACAAGATTACAAGAACGGAGAGAATTTCTCGTTAGCAGAACCCATTAACAACAAATATTAGAACAAACACGGTCTTCACTGTAGAACAATGAACTGCCCTCGAAAGAAGCCACAGAGTTTTACAGCTCAATTAAGTAGACCTGTAAAATATAGCAGCATTTCTTAACAGTCCCTCATAGTCCAATAATGAGAAGCGTTTGAAACTGTCAGCTTTCGTGAGGAGATCCAGTCACTTAGTCATGTGAAGCATGTGCTTGTTATACCTAATTACTTTCCATGAAAATAAGCAGCAAACTGCCAGAGATATTTAATCTAATGTAAACTGCTAGTTAAACAACACTGATCAAAAACCTATGGGTCATTTTGGCTTGCATCTGAAATGTCAATTATACTATATTCTTAAGATAAATAGCAAACTTATTAAGCAAACAGATTACAAAAAGAAATGGAGTAAATCAAACAGATTGACGAGACTATGTTCAAAATAAAGATATAAATCTGGAAACTTTCTGCTTGACAAACATCAATAGAACATTTTACTTACTATTAATGTTTTGTTTACCACAATCATTCTGTGGTTCTGAATCTTTATTTAAAACATAGTGAATTTGTTGGGAGAAATCATTCTTAGTTGTTGAAGTCTGGGTCAAATCAAATGATTGGGTCAACTACTTTATATGCAATGTCAACTACAACAATTATATAATTGAGTCAAAAAAAAGAGATTTGTTCAAATTGTGCCTGATATTACCAGTTCATTTGTCAAGCACATTGCATCATGGGAAAGACGACATGTGCTGTTGTATAGCTTACTGCACATTTTGGGGAAATGCATCATTAACCATCATCCAGGTATTTAATGTATAGAGAAAATGCTGCATGTGGTATGTATAAGTATGGCTGTGTGCTATTTGGTTTTTCCTTACAAATAAGTTTCCTTACAGCTGAAAACACCTATCATTTTAAATAAAAACAATTGGGGGAGCTCATGACCTATTGTTTATTGTTGAACAGCAAATTTAGTGTCCCATTATAATAGATTCTTATCTACAACAGAGTCCAACAGAATCTGGACAAATCTAATGTTCATACTTTGTGAATGGAGCATTTCCACAACACAAGCAATTTTTTAGATTTCTCATTGAGTCTGTTAAAAAACAAAGAACAGACTCAGTCGTAGTGATGTCACATCCTGTGCCTCCCCATCAAAGCATTCATGATTTCCTTCTATTTATGGCATTTCTAGTCTAGGCAGAGAACCAACATGATTATGCTAATAATCATTAAACTGATCATTCTGCAACATATTTCAGGTAGGGATGTCATTAATTTTCTTATTGCATTGTTTTGGACTTAACTGGGAAAAAAATCTAACTAATGTATTAATATTTTTCAGAAGCCAGTGATGTTACACAGACTCCAGTATTATGGGCTCCACGGGGTGAATCTGCACAAATGAACTGCAGTCATACTAAGGGTTCTTCCTATTTCTACATGTACTGGTTCCGACAACGGCAGGGAGAGACAATGAGACTCATTGCGTTCACAATGACAAACAACAAGCCAGACTTTGGTGAATTTTCTCCAGATAAATACTCATCTGATAAGCCTGTGGCTGAACGTGGATCTTTCACAGTGAGTAAGCTGGAGCCTGACGACAGTGGTGTGTATTTCTGTGCAGTGAGTGAACACAGTGACACAGACTTGCTCTGCTGCTGTACAAAAACCTATTACAAGATTAAATTTCTTTAACTTCAAAACATACCATAAAACGACACTGCAGTGTATAAACCACAAAGAACTGTATTATGTATGCAACCAGCCTACAAATAATGTAAATTTTTAGGAAAATATATACATAAATGTGCTTTTATCCCAAGAGATTTATAAATGAGGAACATCACAAGCCATTTACACAGCAAGTTCATAAAGTGGTGCCCCAGCTCTGTCCTGGAGCGCCACTGTCCTGCAGTTCAGCTCCAATCCCAATGAAACACACCAGAATCAGCTGTTCAAGCTCTTACCAGGCGTGCTAGAAACTGCCAGGCTGGTGTGTTGAGGCAAGTTGGAGTTAAACTCTCAGGACAGTGGCCCTCCAGGACCGAGTTTGGACACCCCTGTCATAAAGCAAGTCAATAAATGAGTCAAAAAGAAATATGTAACTGAAAATCATCTATATGAAAAAATAAACTATATAGAAGTATGTACTAATTATGCATAAAAACATGCAAGGTCACGTAGCAGAGTCTTTGCCTTCACACATTTGAGTTGCAATAAGACATGAATCCAGCAGATGGCACTGACATATAACATTACCAATATTATGGACTAGGAAGCGGCTCACAGAAATCAGATTGCTGAAACATCTCAGTTAGTTAGAGGAAACATAGTGTCACATGATTTTTTTTTTTTTTTTTTTTTGTAACCTCGTGGATCTAGTTCTATCCAGTCCTAACAATTTTTCAAGTTAACACCAACCTTGTTTTGTGTTCTTTAACTATCTATGGGTATAATCAAACATTATGATTATTGCTGCATGATGTTTAGACATCAACATTTTTTGTTATTTAGTTGTCATTATACTACTGCCTCTATGTTCTGCTGAGAAGTAGTAGGCGTAGAGTAGAGGCGTCTGTCATGTTTTTTTTCTTTTTTTGTTTTCTGCAGACTGTACATGAAAAAGCTTGTAACACCTAGTTGGAAAAGTTCCTTGTAGCAAATTAGATGGCAGTTAACTACAAGTAATATTTAAGCAGTTACCTACAGTACAAGTAATATTCAAGCAGTCAAGTACAGTGCAAGTAATATTCAAGCAGTTACAGTACAAGTAATTTTCAAGCTGTTAACTACAGTACAAGTTATATTTAAGCAGTCAAGTACAGTACAAGTAATATTCAACCCGTTAACTACAGTGCAAGTAATATTCAAGCAGTCAAGTACAGTACAAGTTATATTTAAGCAGTTAACTACAAGTAATATTCAACCTGTTAACTACAGTGCAAGTAAAATTCAAGCAGTCAAGTACAGTACAAGTTATATTTAAGCAGTTAACTACAAGTAATATTCAACCTGTTAACTACAGTACAAGTAATATTCAAGCAGTTAAGTACAGTACAAGTAATATTCAAGCAGTCAAGTACAGTACAAGTAATATTCAAGCAGTTAACTACAAGTAATATGTTTATGTAATCTTGTAATTATCTGTTCTCCACATTATTTGTGAAACTGAGTTCTGAAATAAATACAAAAGCAATGGCTTCATGTCATGATGTAATGTTTAATTAATCTGAATTGTAGAAACTAAATATTTGGACAATATTTAATGGGATGAGGTAAAGGGGATGCATCAGAACATATCATTGTTAAAGTCGCAACTATATATTGCAGTGCAGTTTAATAATTGTTTTTGCAATATTCATGCATTTATCTCTGAATTACTTATCTCACTGTATTAATAACCACATATCTAAGTTTAGCAAAATGCTGAGTTACTAATATCAAAATATATTTTTTCAACAGAGACCCAATCAAACACTACGCAATTTAAAATATGGAAATGCACTGGTGTTATTGCTCAGACCTCATAAGATGGTTATTCTATCATGTATACTAATATGGATGTAATTATGCCCTAAATTCAATCTTACTCTAAATTCACCTTGTTTTTATGGTAATGAGCAAGTGAGCAAGTAACACACTCACCGTCTTTTTTCCCTTAATGAGTAAAAAAAGTCACTCAAAGTGATTGTCACTTTGTATAAACATACAGTATAGTACACTTTATACATGAACATCCCCCTTGACCAACCTGGGGTTCAGTGTCGTTCTCAAGTCAAGTGCTGATAGTCGATGGATTTCCCCTAGACCAACCTAGATCTTTATCCACTAAACTACAGCACCCAACCTCGCCTCTAGAGGCACACCGTGTTTACTTAAGCCTCAAGACTTTGCTAAGTTCAGCTATTCATGATGCATTTGCATTTTGCCATCTTTTTTGTATCATTACAATGGCCTGCCACTATGTGTAAGCTGTTGATTTGCTCAAAACCAGCTTTACAATGTAATTTTAAATCTTAAATTACTCATGCCAATTATTTTTATCTCAGGTCTTCAGGTAAACCAAAACCCATTGGAGCTTATTCTTCGACCAGGTGTACCTCTTGAAGTCGCCTGCTCCATCACAGGCACTGATAACCCAAACCTCTACTGGTACCGTTGGACCCCAACAGACGGTTTCAAGCTGATGTTCTCTTCTTTGGGTAAAGGACAAGTGGATCCAGAAAGCGTAGGGGATTTTTTGT